GCATCTTTAGCAACCTTTCAAGTTATAAGTGGATTCGTGGACGAACTATGAGTTAATTTGAGCAAGCTTACGTCTTCGGCTATTCGTAAGCAGGCCTGTACAGTAATATAAGGGAGGATAGAATAGCGAAATGTTAAATAGCCAATCAGCAGTATGTATAGGGGAAGAGGGTTGGGAGCATTAAGAGGCCAGGAATCCTGTCAGGGAAGTGGGAAAAGGAACGGATGGGTCAGACAATTAGCTATGTACCTGCTCCCTCAGTGTAACTCCACTGTACATTCGCTTATATTGCTGTAGAGGCCCGATTATAAATAATCGAAAGCGTACATTTTTCGAAGTTGACTTCTTACATGTTTACATGGGTATCAGCGCTGAACATAACTAACTTTCGCCTATTCATATGCTGCTCGAGTCTACGTTTAAAAACCACCCTAATCGACAGAGACTTGTGGTTTAGATTTCAATAGCCTACTTCTGAAATAAAGTAAAGAAATCTTGTGATTGCTGTTGTTCTAGGCGGCACAGTACCTCAGCATGATCAATTAGTCCTCCTAGCGGCCAAGCAGGTTTCCTCTCCAACACTTTATCTGTTACTACGCTAAATTTAACGCTGATATACCACTGGCAAGAGACTCACTAGTAACGTGCATTCTGCTACAGTTTTCAGGGATAACATGAGTGTTACTGCGGATTTCTCGTCTAAAAACCACAAGGAGACATAAAAGCACACTATAATGCGGCTCCATAAATAAAAGGGGCCGAAATTGGTACATCAGAACGTTAAAAACTACAAGGAATCTGAACATTCTTATCAAGAATGCTTCCTTCTGTCGACTTCAATTTCGAAGTTCTCCGTGCCGTTCGTGGCTTCCTGTAACATGATGACTTCTTTTTGCAAGGCTGCACTCAGTGCTGTCAAATGCCTTGTGGACTACAAACGTCAGGAAATAATTTGAACGGTAGGGATAACCTTGCGCAGATTTTCATTGATAATTTCGACTTCTGCGGCCTAAAACGGAAAATTCAATTTCTTGCAGCAAGTACAATTATAAATGCAGCCACACAGTGGGGACGATCGTGAGGTGCAGACAAAACCGATCGGGTGTTTCCGAGACTGACTACTCCCGAGTTATATGGAGAAACCTCTAGGGACGAAACCTTCGCCGTGTATGTCTTATGTCTAAATTAAAAGTCATATGAAAACGCAACGCTTACACTTCGCCCCATTTTGAATACATAAACTGACACAGCTGTAGGTAGGATTTCTTGAATAATTTCCTTTATCAGTTTGTATCCTTGTGTTGAAAACATAACTCGTATACCGTCCAACTTACATCTTAAGTCGATCAATCCAAGAGTACGCAACGAAAGTTGCCAACGCAGTCACTTCCAGTGGAGGAAGAGAAATTATGACCGACTGGACTCAAGCTCAATGTTTACATCTTCTCTGCCCGAAGTCGAGTTATCGCCGCGGAATATCTCCAACCAGAACAAAGATGGTCACTTCGATCTGTCTGTAGTACCTCTCGATTATGAGTTTCTCGCTGATACGCAACTGCCTGCAGAAACTGCAGTGCAGAGTCAAAATGCTCGTATTTCGATCTGTCCTATTTGCAGAAAATCTCTATCGAATGACTGGAGACCTCTGATCAAGGGCACCAGAACGTGGACACGACTAAACTAAAAACATTTAGTTAAACTATCCACCGAACACAGACTCATGCTTGGCGTCTCACTGACATGGAACTAGCATATGTTTCACTTAAGATTAAAAAGAAGTGGCAAGTCATTATTTAAGACTCCCTCATCCCTTTAAATACGATTGCCCAGTGATTAGTCAGCTGACGCCATATTTGGCCGAAGCAAGAAAACCACAATAGGATTGCGAGTTCGAAAAAAAAAACAGCGGAATAATATAGGTATCAAAGGTATGTAAAAGGTTGAGCATACTAGTCTGACCTTAGTATTCTCATCAAAGACTGACAACTTCAGCCTCAGCGCATTTATGTACTTTTTGCGCTCTTCCCTCTGCGAGCCCTGAAGTACGTGTCGCGCC